AAAACGAACACCCACAGAATGGGAAAAGATCTTCACCAATCCCACATCTGACAGAGGACTGATTTCCAAAATATATAAGGAGCTCAAGAAGCTAGCCACCAAAACACCAAACAATGAAATTAAAAAGTGGGGTGCAGAACTAAATAGAGAATTCTCAACAGAGGAGTCTGAAATGGCTGAAAGACACTTAAGAAAAATCCTTGGCCATCAGAGAAATGCAACTCAAAACAACTCTGAGATACCACCTCACACCTGTCAGAATGGCTAAAATCAAAAATACCAATGACAATCTATGCTGGAGAGGATGTGGAGAAAAAGGAACACTACTCCATTGCTGGTGTGAGTGCAAACTGGTAAGACCACTTTGGAAATCAGTATGGCAGTTGCTCAGAAAAATGGGAATCAGTCTACCTCAAGATCCAGCCATTCCTCTCTTGGGTATATACCCAAATAATGCACGTTCATACAACAAGGACATATGTTCAACCATGTCCATAGCAGCATTGTTTGTAATAGCCAGAATTCTTTATTAGCATTATGTATCTCAATTTATGAATAGTCTAGACTCTAATTAAGTGCTTGACTTCTTGTGCATTTTATGAATGAATATGGAAATAGCATAAGATTCCTCAGAGAAAATAATCCCAAGTCTGGTGGTAATAAGAACTACTTGTTATGATCAGCATGGCAGCATTCCTTTCTTTATGCTTTTATGCCTATGGGACACCAAATAGCATTTCTGTGGTACCAGAGTCATACATATCTCCAGTGCAGGCTACCACCAAACCCACCACAGAGTAAATGCAGAAGACAGAATGCACATTATAAATGGGTTATTAGGAGTAGTATTGAGGGATGTTCCTGCTCTCTGTTTATTAGTTTGAAGAGCCATATATTTTTGTCTAGGGAAGAAACAGCAGTATATAATAGCTTTGTTTAGAGTAGTATATATTTCTGGCATTGGCAAGTACTTCAGTCTCACAATCTGCTGTCTACACTGTGAATCTTTAGCAGGCTATCCTAAGGTCAGCCACCTCTGGGTGGTACTATACATTGGAAAATTGGTAAAATTGGTTCACTGACATATTCATTTTATAGCGAAGTGATTCCCTTGACCTAAAGTAGTAGTACGTATTGTACTGTAATGATGATTCTTGCATTAGGTAAATCTGTGTTGACAAAGGCATGAGGTTAGTGGTATTGTGGTCAGTGATGGCAAATTTAAACCCAGAGAGAATTGGGTTAAGGTCATTACAAGTACCCCCCTCCCTTTCCAGGTAAATGGGAAATGGTTGAATCAAAGCTGCTGGGAGGCTGGTCAGTCTTCTTGGAGCATGGTGCTACATAATGGAACGTTGTGTTCTTAGGGAATAGAAGGTATGTTCTGGACTCCCCAGCAGTGCCAGTCTTAGTGAGAGGATGTTCATATTACTGAGTAAGTGCCTTCTCCATGCTCCTTGGCTCATGAACCCACTGAGTAATCAGGTGATGATGGGAAAGAGACAAATACCAGTTGATAGAAAGCTTCTTCCCCAGGGGGGTTCTTCTGGTTACCATTCATATGGAGGCAAACTGACCATGTCCATTTTGATAGGCCCATTTTCAAAGATTGTTCCACAATCTTTTTCCCCCCCTGAAAGCCCAAAAGAATGCTATCCTTGAAAGTTCCTGGTATTTTCCTGAACTGTTAATCACTGACCACATGTTGATACAGACTCTTATTTTAGGTCTTTGCTTCCAGGCAAAATGGCCCCACCAGAAGAAATTCTCAAAAGCCCACTTACACAGTAGTGTAATTCTAGTGCTAGGAGATTTAACACAATGGTTTGCAACACAAGTTCAAAACACCTCTTGGCAAACTGGTCATATAGCACTCTTCTCTAAACTTAAAAATCTGTCACTGCAGAGGTTGTAACAAGCTGTGGGATTGAGGCCTGAAGAGTGAGCACATCAGAAATATGAGCCACCCGCTTGCTTCTTCAGGAGTTACTAAAGCCTAATTTCATTCACAACATGTGCATCTGACAATGGGGTACTGCTGGGAATACCCATGTTTATGGATTGCTGGCATCCAATAACACCAAGGTCCTTTATCTCCTCGTTTCTATGATGAGATATTCAGTGACTACTAGGGCTTGCCAGTGAGTCAAGAGCTTTCATGACAAGGAAATGCTTATTTAAGCAAGAATCCCACTATTTTATTGCAAAGTCCTAGAGCCTCTGTCCATACCAGAGATATTGAAACAACCCTTACAATGTCCCTTTCCTCTCCCGACAGTTCAAGCACCTTTGACCTTCTGAGCAAGAACTCTGCTGGGTATCTGGAGTCCACTCACTGTACACTCTGGAAATTCTAGTAAATATCACAAATAGTCTTATTGTTGTTTCATTTCCACCCTCCCTCCCTCCCTCCTTCCCTCCCTCCCTCCCTCCCTCCCTCCCTCTCTCCCTTCACCTCCCTCTTCTTATTTTAATTTTCTTTCTTTTTGACATGCATTTGTTGAGTTAGACTTACCCATCTATTTGGTATGGACCTAGACACTTTCTCCACAAGTTATTCAGACATCACTCTCATCATGTCTTTCATGACATTATAGCAGTCAACACTTAACTCATCTCCTCATGGAAGTGACTGTCCTATTATGGAGTACTTAAGTACATCATT